CCCGTCACCTCCGCGATGTCCTCGGGGGTCTGGCCCAGGCTGGCGAAGACGTCCTTGGAGTTCCTCAGGTAGAGGTTGGTGAAGATGTCGGCTGTCTCAGGGTCTGTCCGCGAGTAGTCGGCATGTTTGGCTTCCTCGTACACCTTCGCCTCGAACTCCGTCGTCACCGGCCCCGGCTCCACCAGGCTGATCCTGCCCGAGGATGGGGCGCTGGGGACCCCAGCACCCCCCAAACCCCCCTGCCCCAGGGGGCTGTGGTGGCCACCAGCCCCCAGCACTCACGCCACGTTGAAGCGCAGCGCCTGGACCACCAGGCTCTCACAGAAACCCTCCACCGCAAATTTGGAGGCCGCGTAGACGTCGTTGAAGACGATGCCTGGATGGGTGGGGGGGGTCTCAGTCAGGCCCTGGGGAGGGGGACTGGTCCCACCAGGGCACCCCATCCCCCCCTACCCTGCAGGCCCATGATGCTGCTGATGACCACGATGTGGCCCCCGCGGCGCCGTTTCATGTCGGGCAGGACCTCCTTGACCAGGCGGACGAGGCCGAAGAAGTTGGTGTCCATTAGGCTCTGCATGGCTGCCAGGCTCTGGCACTCCAGGGGCCCCGCCATGCCCACCCCAGCGTTGCTGACTGTGGGGACGGGGCATCAGTGGGGCGTCCCCCGCACGGGGAGGGGGCCCATGCCCCATGCTCAGAGGGTCCCCAGTGCACAGAGGGTCCCTGGTGCAGGAAGTCCCTGGCATGGAGGGTCCCTGGTATGGGGTGTCCCTGGTGCACAGGGTGTCCCTGGCATGGAGGGTCCCCAGTGCATGGGGTCCCTGGTGCATGGGGGTGTCCCTGGCATGGAGGGTCCTTGGTATGGGGTGTCCCTGGTGCATGGGGGTGTCCCTGGCATGGAGGGTCCCTTGTACGGGGTGTCCCTGGTGCACAGGGTGTCCCTGGCATGGAGGGTCCCCAGTGCATGGGGCCCTTGGTGCATGGGGGTGACCCTGGCATGGAGGGTCCCCAGCGCTGGGTGCACAGGGGGTCCCCAGCATGGGACATGCTTGGCATGGACCCTCCCCAGTGCACGGGGCACCCCTGGTGCATGGAGGGTCCCTGGCCCAGGGTGCCCCTGGTGCACGGGGTGTCCCCAAGCATGGAGGGTCCCCAGCATGGGGCTCCCTGGCGCAGGGCACCATGGGGACACAGTGGGAGGGGGGGTCCTGGGGCTCACCCAGGACATCGACGTGGCGCCCGGGGATGCTGTCGAGGCAGGCACGGATGGAGCCCTCGTCGCAGACGTCCAGCTGCTTGATCTCCAGCGTCCGGCCCAGCGCCGACCCCGCCGCCGCCGCCAGCCCCCCGCCCCTGCC